CACAATAATACTTTTCTCTAAGGAAACAGGGTCATTCTCTAGATCAGCTGGCTTCAAAAAACAGCCATCATCCTAATTTCTCTTTGCAAGTGCTGGAGAGCTACCACACACAGCTAGTGATAACCTTTCTCAATACTGTGAGTCAAATGGATACTAATATGTAAAGCAATAAAGCTGAGTAGCCTAACTCATGCCATTACTTTTCAAAAAAAAAAAAAAAAAGAATCAAAGGCTCTAGGAAAAAAATGCAGGAATAAATCTTTATTTCATGACCACAGTTTACACATGTAATATTCAAAATATGACCCAAACGCACAAAGAAAGAACAGATTTTATCAAGATTTAAATATTTCTGTACTTTAAAAGGTTATGATCAAGAAAGCAGAAATACAATCCAAAGATCAGTTCAAAATACAACTAATATCTAGAACAGAGAATACTTACAACTTAAAGACAAAGAGCTCAGTTACAATACCTAGAGAAGGCTGAGAGTAGAATGCTTTTCCAGCATGTACTAATAAGCCCTTTGGTTTATCCCCAAAACCACAAAAAACAAAACACATAAACAGTAATATAATCAAAGACTGGATAGACATTTTTTCCAATAAAGTATACAAATAGCCAATTACATACAAGATGCCCAAATCACTAGTCAGAGAAATGAAAATGTAATTTTTTTTACAGTGTCAACCACTCTATACTTACTAGAATGGCTACAATCAAAAAAAGGGTGATGGGCATGTAGAGATACACTCATACTGCTATAGGGAATATAAAATTAGATACTTTCCAGCAATTTCTCAAATGTTTTAGCACAAAATTACTAAATTACTTGGCAATTCCATTCCTGGGTATATTTGCAGAGGAAAACCATGTATCCATGCAAAACATTTTATATCTGTAATACATATATTCATTCATAAAAGACCAAAAATGTAAACAACCCCAAATCTACCAACAGCTGAAAATAAACTTAACTCATTCATACAAAGAAATACCATTAACACTAAAAACTTGAAATAAGAGGTTTTCTTGTTTGGTTTTTTGGTTCTCTGTGTAGCCCTGGCTGTCCTGGACTCACTCTGTAGGCCAGGCTGGCGGAATTCACAGAGATCCGCCCGCCTCTGCCTCCTTACTGAGTGCTGGGACTACAGGCGTGCACCACCACATCCAGCTAGAGGATCTTCAAAATAAAAATAAACAGCCCTAGTCCTTGTTACTCTCAGAGATTGTGACCCTTGTAGTAACTCCAAAAACTAGTTAAAACATTGCAATCTCAGGAACAACCACAACAAGGGTAAAAAAAAAAAAAAAATCATTTCACTTTCTCAGAAACTGCCCCTCACCGTACAGCTCAGATCCAACAGCAGCTTCTGTTTGTGAGGTAGGAAAAGAGGAGAGATGGAGAATGGGGTGAATACGACCCATTATAAAACAAAGAAGAAAAAGTCTCCACAAACCAACTCCAAATAAAGAATTCTAAATAGCTGTCTAAGAAACTCAATTATCTACATGATAACACACGATTAAAAATGAAAGTCAATCAATGCATGAACAAGATTAAAATCACCACAGGGAAAATTCAAAAACAATAAACCCTGCAGCTAAAGAACAGAACTGAAATGAAATTTACTAGAAAAATTCGACAGAGAATGTGGTCAAGTAGGAGAAAAAGGAAATCAGCCAACTCTAAAGAGAATTCAAAGGGCTGGATGTCCAGATCTGACAAGAGTGCTAACTTCAGGCCCAGGGTTCAGTCCCAGCACCCTGCTACATCCTGGGCCTTAGTTTCTTTTCCTGGTGCTGTAAGAAGACACCGCAACAAAAATAATGTAAGAGAGAATGTACGTCAAAGTATTTGAGCTTACAGGTAGGCAACAGGAGCTGAAGTGGTTAGTCCCTGCATCCACGTGAAGAGAGCTTGTGAACGTAGCCTAGGGGTTCGATTTCTCACTTTGACAGCCCAGGTCCAGAGCCCTCCTACACCAATTAAAGTAATCAGGAAAATCCCTCACAGGCAGGCCCAGAAGCCCATCTTCCACGTAATTCTAGAGCTTGTCATGTTTACAACACTAACCACTGCACCCTTTTAAAACAGAGTAATTAAAAATGCATGCCATCAAGAAATAGGAAAAAATATATAAAAACAAGACACCAACAAGAGCACCAAGAGACCACATAATGTTTCAAGGGGAAAAAAAAAAAAAAGACCAATACCTTGCTTGAAAAGACTTCCCAAATCTGAAGAAGAGGACATAGAAAGAAATAAAAGTTCAAAAGACCCCAAAAAAGCTGGGAGGACCCCCAAAAAGCTAGGGGAGCAGAACGGGAGGAGCTTTGCACATTCAAAATCAGCTTGGTCTATCCAGGGAGTTCCAGGGTAGTCGGGACTGAATACTGAGGTCCTATCAAAAAACAGAGTTCGGGGCTGGAGAGATGGCTCAGAGGTTAAGAGTACTGCTCTTCTAAAGGTCCTGAATTCAATTCCCAGCAACCACATGGTGGCTCACAACCACCTATAATGAGACCTAGTGCCCTCTTCTGGCGTGTAGGTGTGCATGCAGACAGAACATTGTACACATAATAAATTAAAAAAAACAAAACAAAACAAAAACAGTTCTAGCTAGGCCTGGTTTGTATGGTGAAAGTAGAAGCAGGAATGAATATCTATCTACAGGTCAAAGGCTAGCAGAGCAAGTACAAGGACAGCCTAAGATATAAACAATCTATGAAAATGTAATCCAAAGTTAGCAGAAGGAAAGAAAGCACTGCCGAATTATAAAAACCGAGAGGAAAAATGCAAGGAACAACAACAAAAACCAGAAGTTAGGAACGTACACCAGCTAACGGCTCCAACACCAAGGTCTTAGGCTAGATCCCTATGATCAGCAGAAAAAATACTTTTAAGCGCCTAGTGGAAGGTTTTTGAAAAACGTATTCCATTTTTAAAAATTATTTATTTTTGAGATTACATCAACCCCCACCCAGCCCTCCCGTATACCCAACCTTGCTTTTTGAAACTCATGGCCTCTTTTTCATTAACGGATATTTGGTTTGTGTGTGTGTGTGTGTGTGTGTGTGTGTGTGTGTGTGTGTATGTTGAATTATGGGACACACCCATAAGGTGCATGTGAGTGAAGATGAGCTTACACTCCCGAGTGGAAGTTCCAGGTGGTTCTGATCCAATCGGAATGTGTTAGGATCCTAACTCGGGTCTTGGGCAAGAACAGTTGCACTCTTACTGCTGAGCCATCCCTCTAGGCCCTCACGCTGGAGTTTTGAAAAGAAAGATATATACATATTACGAGCTCTTGGCAACATTAAGAAAAAAAGGACTTAAATCATAAAGAGATATTACAACTGGAAATCCTTAAGAACTATACACCAACAAACTGAACAATCCAGAAGAACTAAACAAATTCCTTGAAACTGTCAATCCGACAAGACTGAATGAATGAAATGAATCATTAAAAGTATTGATACAAAGTTGAGCTCCTGCCAGTACCAGTCAGGGGCAGCCTGACCTACACAGCTAGTTCTAGGATAGCAAAGGCTACACAGAGAAAGTAAAAGACAAAGGAGAAAAAATTTAAACAGAAATAATGAATAAAACGATTAGATAATCTAACACCTTTTCATGGCTGGAGAGATGATGCAGCAGTTAAAAGCATGTACTGCTCTTCCAGAGGACCCAAGTTCGATTTCCAGCACCCACATCAGGCAGCTCACACTGACCTATAAATCTAGTTCCAGGGGAATTCAACAGCTCTACTGAGACCGTACTCATGTGCACATACCCACACACCGACACACATGTAACTGAAAATAGCAAACATAAAATTTAAAATACCAAAGCTCCGGAAGTCGACGCTCACTAGGGCATCAACCAGGAAGGTCAACATTCTCAAATTTTCCAAGCTGGGCTTGTTAATTTGCATCCAGAATCTCAGCACTCAGGAAGCTCAAACAACATGATCTCAATGGAGAAAATATGCTTCTTCAACAAATGATTTGGGAGAACTGCATATCCACGTCAAACAAACAAACAAACAAACAGGGACTTTGCCTTCTACAATACCAAAAAAAAAATTGATGATATCTGTCTGTCTGTCTATCTATCTCACCAACAAGGCACACAGGTACAAGACCTGAAACAATGAAATCCTCAGGCAGAGAGAAGAATGTTATCACACTGGGATAGGCAGTAGCTTCCTGGCTATGACACCTAACAAAACAGTTTCAAGGGCAAAAACAGTAAAAACTCATTACATGAGACTTTAAACTACTCAAAAAAAAAAAAAAAAAAAAAGTTAGCTGGGTGTGGTCCTGCTCTTTGGGATCTCTTGAGTTCAAGGCAGCCTGGGCTACACACCAAGTTCCAAGACTTCCAGGACTACAAAGACACTCTGTCTCAAAACAAAACCAAAAACAAACAAAAATTTAAGACACAAGAGAGTGAAAGGGGTAGCCCATAGGATAGGATTTCTTAGCATGTCCATTATATGTACATAAAAATGTAGATCCATCTTAAATTATGATCAAAGGAAATTAAATTTCTGGTCAAGTCTTTTTACTACCAGTACACTAATGAATACACTTAAAATTTTAGGCCTACAACCTGTCAATTACCTCCTGAATCCCAAAATGTCAGCCAACTTAATGAAGTAAAAAACTGGAAAGGGGAAAAAAAATGTTAGGACCTATAGAAAAAGAGGCTTCTTATAAAAATAAACAGGTAAGGCATGTAACTGACACTACAGTAGCACATGAGGTCTTAAATTCAATCCTCAATGGTAGCAACAAAACAAAACAAAAGGTCTGAAAATACAGGCAACCCAGCTTTAAATGTCAGTTTTCCAAATACACAGTTTCTTACTCAAGTGGTAACCCTGCCCTCCACATTTGTAACACACCTTCCTTTGCGACAGAAAGACAGACAGACCAGGGACTTTAGAAGAGCATCAATAAACTCATCACTTTACACCAGGTGCGGTCCTTACCTGGCTCGGGGAGCTTGGTCTGTGGTGTCAAACTGGGAATTCCTGTCTCCTTTTCCACGTCGCCCGTGCTGACACTGGGTTTATCACAAACGTTCATCCGAGGCCCGACTGAATCCGAGTGGCTGCCATGATTGGGATCGGCTGTGGAGTCCTCGAGTAGGGTTGTAGCTCTCTGTTCCAGGTACTCACCGGGGCCCTTCTGCACAGGGTCACCAGGAAGCATGACTCCAAACGTTCCCTCTGAGTTCTCTTTCTCCCTAAATCTGTTGATGCGCTTTCCAGGCTTAGGGCGCCTTGGATTTAACCGCTGCCACCGCTTTTTAGGCACCACTTGATTAACACCATGACATTCATCATTCTCACTGTTCATCCCAGAGCCCAGAACCGAGCCTTTTCTATTCTCAAAAGAAGGTTCTTTGTCAAGAATTTTATCAGAGTCACATTGTTTAACCTTGCTATCAAAAAGTACCTCAGAAAAACGGGTGTCTTCATTTCTCAAATGGCCCATTTGTTGAAGAGGCTCTTCTTCACCAGGATCTTCAGCCCCGCCCCTGGATGGGCCATTCACTGAGCCTCCGCTGCCTTTGTCTCCCAGCCGGTTAGCTACAGGGGTCACAGCTGGAAGTCGGTGGTTCAACTTTCTCTTTCGCTCTGTCTTTAAGGCTTTTGGGTTGACTGGGAGTTTTGCCATCTGGGCTGAAATGGCTTCTCTCAATTTGGTTGATGGTTTTGCTCGGCCACAGTTGCGCCTTGGAATGCAGTTTGAGCGGCTTTTCCCACAAGCAGGGAGGTCCCTTTTGTCAGCCGAGGAGCTGGGCAGGGAAGACAGTTCTCCAGACAATGCAGAGTCACCCCCACTGGGACTCGGGCAGCCCTGGTCCTGAGTGCTGTCTCCAGGTTTTTCAGAATTGTGTGTGGATCCTCCTAACACCAAAACTTTAGATGTCCCTACTGGGCTACCAGAACAGTCCCCACGATCTGGAGTGCGGTAGGAAGGCAGATTGTGAGCAGTCATCAGCCGTTGCTCCTTCGTCTTACTATCATGCATATCTTTCAGCATCATTAGCAATGTACTAAATTTGTAATCTGGCTCAATAGGTATATGATTCTGAGTAGAAGCAGAAGAAAACAGTAAAGGCTTTGATGACTTTGATGTTCCCGAGTCACTGACATCCTCGCTTAATGATCTGTAAGAGAGCTCCTTCAATTCTGACAGAACATGCTTCACCACCGCTGTCTCTATATCGCTCGAATCTCTGGTTTTCTCGTGCATATTGCTCAGTAGTTTTAGCCCCTCTGCTTTACCACTTTTGGACACGCTGGCCAAAGGAGAGCCATTGGTATCAGAAGAACAGCATTTCAAGGTGAGGTCCTCATTTGTAGCTGATTCTTCAGCAGCTGGGTTTTCTTTATGCTTGCATTTTATGCTGCGGGCCTTAGGCTGTCTGTCTTTCAAAGGGAACAGAGTCTGGTTTGCAGCCCCACCTTTCAGTGAGCTCTCACCACAAATGCCTGGTGGTGCGCTGAACTTTGTAGTGAGGCCATCATTCCTAAATCCTGGCTGGGACCTGGGAGCAGCACTACAGAGTTTAAGATCAGAAAGGTTGGCCTGAGGCGCCTCAGCAGTTTCCGGCTCAGCTCTCTTGGTAGAATGCAGTAGGCGGTCTGTGTGTGAATTAGGAATGACAGATTTCTGTTTCTCTTTTACCCTGTTTGTGGCGGGGTACCTAGAATACTTTGTTTCCTTTCCGTGCATGGACACACCGTCCTCTGCTCTATCGGAAACATCTGTGACTTCACCGACAGTGTTAGCACACTCTGAGGTGTGCTCCACACCACTGCTCCCACCATCAGAAGGGGCACACACACTAACAGAGTCACTTGGCTTTTCCGAGTCACCAGCTCCCACATAGCAAAGCTGTACTTTTGAGCTGCACACTGGGCCTGATTGGAGTTTCTTTCTTTCTCCAGAATGTTTGGAGAGTAAAGCACTCTCAGATAAACCTGATAAAGAATCACAATTTGAAGTCTCAAAATCTGTTTTAGCAGTGTTCTGTCCACATGAAGAAAACAGGAGACCTCCTGGTGCAGTGCTAGACCCCGTTAGGCTGTTCGCTATCCTGGAAAGTTCATTAGAAGCCTGTTTATCTGATACACCCCCAGAGAGAAAGTCTAAGCCAAGGTTCTCTGGAACTTTCCCCCTCTGCTCCTCTTTGTGTGCTTCAAATGGCATAAGGCCCTTTTTCACACTAGTCCTTTTTATATTATCAGAGCTTTTTCTAACTCGAGACTTGGTACAGGGCTTCTCCTTTTCATCTGCAGAATGCTCAGAATCAAAAGTCAGAGACTTCAAGCAGCCATTAAGCAGCAGGTCGTGCTCTGATTCAGGGTCATTTGTACAGTCCTCAAATGGCATCTCCTCCTCGCTGTCCAACTTGATTGAACTAGGGACACATTTTTGGTTCTTAGATCCTTTGGGAACATCATATTGCTCAGCAAGACCAACACTGGCTTCCCATTTACTCAAAATTTTCTGAGGAACCTTAAAGTAAAAGAAAAACAAGAATACTATTTATTAAAAAAAATAAAAGGAAAAACAGAGGTAATAACATCTCAAATCAGAAGCAACCAGATCTTGTTCTGTTTTTTTGTTTGTTTGTTTGTTTGTTTGTTTTTGTTTTAGTTTTTCAAGACAGGGTTTCACTATGCAGCTCTGGCTGTCCTGGAACTCACTATGTAGGTAGACCAGGCCAGCCTCAAATTCACAAAAATTTCTGCCTCTGCCTCCCAAGTACTGCAATCAAAGATGCCCACTACTACTCCTGGATAATCTTGCTGTTCTTACTGAAAGCACCCTTTCTGCTGTTGAGATAAAGTTATATGGATTAACAACCATGTCAATGTCTTTCTATGGAATGGCCTAATATTAGCATCTGAGTTTATTACAGACTGCCTACCAAGGATTCCCCACAATACCATTATTAATATAACTATCATACTGGACGCAGAGATGTTTCCCTTTAATCCCAGCAACTGGAAGCCAGATCCCTGAGCTCAAGGCCAACCTGGACTACAGAGCAAGTTCTAGGACAGCCAAAGCTACACACAGAAACCCTGTCTCAGAAAACCAGAAAGAAAGAAATTACCTATCATATCTAGAAGAACTAGTCTCATAAGTATCACCACACTTTTGGCATTTATCAACAAAACTGAGAAGACTAGTAACGTCAATTAAAGATAGTAAAACTCAATTTTTAAAGCAAGATCCATTTCTTCAAATATTTAATTTTTTTTTTTCTTTCTAAGATTCATTTAGCTGGCACAGTGCTGCATGCCTGTAAGGCAGAAGCAGGAGGATCTCTGTGAGTTCATTTACAAAGTGAGTCCTGGAAAGTCAAGGCTACACGGAAAACCCTGTCTCGGAAAAAAAAAAAAAAAAAAAAAGAAAAGAAAAGAAAAGAAAAAAGGATTCATTCAAGTGCTCTATCTGCATGTACACCTGCATGCCAGAAGAGGGCAACAGATGCCAGTAGAGCTGATTTTGAGTCACCATGTTGTTGTTGGGAATTGATTTCAGGACCTATGGAAGAATAGACAGAGCTCTTAACCGCTGAGATGAGACACCTCTCCAGATCTCCAACCCCAAGGTCCATTTCTAAATACTCAACCTTCCATATTTATATTTACGCCTTAGAATAAAAAAGGGGGGGGGCGCAGAAGCATACACATGCACAGCTGCTAAAAAGGGAAGGAAGGAAAGAAGGAAGGCAGGCCGGCAGGTAAGAGAAGCCTCAAAGAAGAAAAGCATGGACAAACAAGACAAGAGGAATGAATGAGGCAGGTGCTCCTGCAGGACCTGAAATCTGAAGCTGCAGCTGTTACCGCCTTTGGCTCTAGCCAATGCTCTTCTAGGCTGTATGTGGCCTGGAGCATAACCAAGCTCTCTTCAGGGCCTAATTCCTTAATCCAAAGACACAAAACAAGACGGGTGCACAGGATGCTTATGGGCGTCTCTAAATTTTTCATGAATGAGGACATTCATACACTGAAGGACACCTACTTTCCAGAACCTTCCATCCTTGGATTTCTACAGTGTTATTTGGCAAGGTTCTACCTACCAGTTACTATTCACAAATATATTAATACTTAGAATGCTCTCCAACACATATAAAATATAAGGACACTAGACAGGTAGCCTCCTCCTGGAAGGTACTACACTGACCATTTCGTCTACTTCAGACATAATCATACACGTATCTGTGCTAATGATAATGATCAAAGTAAATCAGGTTACGTTTTCAAAGCAGAAAAATCCTAGTGACTTCTAAAAAGAGATACTCAACCTCCACACCTAAAGCTCAACACAAGCTATCCCCTCTGCTCTCCTCTTTCTGTATCTCTCTTCTTCTTCTTCTCCTCCTCCTCTCCCTGTGTGCACTTTTGTCTCTCTGCCCCAGCCCCCGAAGAGTGGCTGAGAACTGCTTCCAATAAACCTTCACTTATATATTAGAAAAAAAAAAAAAAATCTGACCCCTTCCCCCACTATCATGCACTGAGAACAGTAGCAAGAAGCTGTTAAACTCTTTCATCCTAACAACAGCACACATTAGTACTGTAAGAACAAAACTTTGTAATATATTGAGTATTTTATAATTTTAAACATTAGTTAAAGTACATGCTGCTGTGCTAGTTTAAGAGACATAGACAAATCCTGTGCACTTGTTATAAGTGGCAGTTCATCATTAACTTTGAATTTACCTCAACTATGATTAACAGTATAATCATTATTTTTGTGTGTTTGGTTGGTTTAGTTTATTTTTTTTGAGACAGGGTTTCTCTGTGTTTGTCTGTCCTGAACTCAATTTGTAGACCAGGCTGGCCTTGAATTGACGCAAATCTGCCTGCCTCTGCCTCCCTTAGTGCTGGAATTACAGGTGTGTGCCAGTGCAGCCAGCTCCTATAATCATAATTTAACATTAGGAAAAAGACAGTATAAAAGCACTTACATATACTGAAGTAAGAAGCAACAATCTAAGAACTAGTGCCCTTTGCTTTTCTGAGATTCTTGTTCTATATAAACCTGGCTGGGACAGAGAACCCACTATGTAGACCAAGGTGGCCTCAACTCTGAAATGATTCTCCAGCCTCTGCTTTCTAGGTGCTGGAATTACAAGTGTAAACCAACAAACACACCCAGCTCAAAAAACCAAACAATTTCTTACACAATTTGCTATAAAAGCCAGGCAAAGTATTTGTACTGGCTGGTTTTGTGTGAGCACAAGCTAGAGTCATCAGAGAGGAAGGAGACTGAGTTGAGGAAATGCCTTCATGAGATCCAGCTGTAGGGCATTTTCTCAGTTAGTGATAATGGGGGAGGGCCCAGCTCACTGTGGGTGGTGCCACCCCTATGCTGATAGTCCTGGGGTCTATAAGAAAGCAGGATGAGCAATCCACAGGGAGTAAGCCAGTAAGCAGCATCCTTCCTTTCATGGCTTCTCCATCACTTCCTCTAGGATCTTATCCTGTGTTAGTCCTCTTCAAAGGTGAACAGTGCTGTGGAAATGTGAGCCGGATAAACCCTTTCCTCCCCAAGTTGCTTTGGTCATAGCTGCTCTCATCACAGCAACAGTATCTATAACTAAGGTAAGTTGGTACCAGGATAGTTTGTTGGCTATTGCTGTGACATACCTGACCATGTTTTGGTGAGGATTGTGGAAGGACCTTGGAACTTTGTGTAAGAAAAGCCATTGAATGTTTAATGTTTGGTAAGCTCTTCTGTAGGAGCTTGGGAGATTAGAAAACTGCAGAAGATGGAGGCCTGGCTTGATGCTTCAAACAAAAATTTAAAGACTCTATCAGGCCCATTTGCTAGAAGTCTGTCAATCTGGTCAAGGGGAACTGGAAGAGTCAGCCATGATTAACAAGAGACCAGCACCACTGAAGTGAAAGCTTTGAGTTACTGGGACAATTGGTGCTGGCTAGCTGGCACTAAGAAATTAGTGATGGTTAAGAGAGCAACATCACTGAGGTAAAAATCTTTTGGGAAGTATTTCCTGAGACCACAGAGAAGCAGTGTTCCAAAGGCAGCCAAAGTTGTACCTCATGCTGGCAGCCAGACTTTGTAATGCATAAGAGTCACCAGGTGGTACTGGTGATTTTGAAGGCAGGAAGGGGTCATGGAGAGCAGCTGAGGCTTAACACTGTGAGAGGTCAGGAGAGGCCATTGGTGAAGAAGTAGCCTCAGGAGCAGTTGAAGGCCCAGGATTGAAGGAGTCATGTGGAGAAGTTGGGGTTTGGTACCATGAAGAGATCCTATGAGAGGCTACTGGTGAAAGTGCAGGCCAGTTGCAGAAACCCCAGCATTTTGGAGATGGCAGAACCATGGGATGACCACCACGAACAACAGCAGCTGTGGAGTGGAGCCAGGCTGAGCCCACAAGACAAGCTGTGTGTGCTGTAGAGCGCAGAGCCAGAGAAGTGACCCAAGCCCCTTGGAGGAGCCCAGAAGATTGTGAGTGAGTCCCCCAAGTTGGATGGTTTGAGTCTGGTTTTGCTTTGATTTGATTGTGACTGTGCCCTGATTATTCCCTCTTGAAGTAAGAAAGTATTTATTTTTTATCTTACTGAAGACTACAATTTAAAGATGTTCTATTTTTTCTAAATTGGCTATTTCACAGCCAATGAAATTTTAATGTGTTTGATTTGTAAAGACTGTGGACTTTCAAAATTATTTATGTTTTTAATGTGAGATCTTAGAGAATAAGAAAGGAAGGGTTGTGCCTAAATAGTGATGTTTGTGTGTCATCAGAGGGAAAGGAGCCTGAGTTGAGGAGATGCCTCCCTGAGGCCCAGCTGTAGGCACTCTCTTAATTAGTGCTCAATTGGGGAGGGCCAGCTCATTTCGGGTGTGGTGCCGCCCTGGGCTGGTGGTCCTGGGGTCTGTAAGAAAGCAGGCTGAGCCAGTAAGCAGCAACCCAGTACCCCAGCCCCCTCCTGCATGGCCTCTGCATCAATTCCTACCTCCAGGATCCTGCCTTGTTTGAGCTCCTGTCATGACTTCCTTCAATGACAAAGAGTGCTGTGGAAGTGTAAGCTGAAGAAACCCTTTCCTCCCCAAGCTTGCTTTTGGTCATCATCACAGCAAATGTTTAGTACCTACAGTCCCAGCTGCTCAAGTAGTTGAGGAGGAAGGATCATCTGAGCCCAGGAGTTGAGGTTAGTTGGAACAAAATACCAAGGGTCCATAAAGCTAATCAACTGATAAGAAGGACAAGTATGAGAACAAGTGAAAAAGGGGGGGGGGGGGGGAAGAAGGAATTATGGCCTAAGGGTATAGCTTCAGCTTTACAAAAGGAAGATAACAAGGGCTGATAATGCAGCTCATCCACAGGGTACTTTGCTGATATGCCTGAGGCCCTGGAGTCCATGCCCAACTGGGGTGGGGGAGAGGAATGGACTGACACCAGAGACAGAGAGACACAAAGAAAAAAGAGAATGAATGACAAGTTGGTTTGTTGGATTTTCACAAAAGATCAAGGTCCGCTCTGAAAGGGCTATATAGCCAGACCCTGGCTCAGATGTGCACATGTGCACATAGTTTTTGACAAAATTAAATTTCTTTTTTGTTGAGCAAATTGTAACAAAGTATCAAGCAAAAGATAACAATGTTGAAGTCCCAGCACCATATAAATTAAGGGTGATGGTGTATTCCTGTAGTCCCAGCACTTGGAAAGTGGAGGTAGTGAATCTCCATGAGTTCAAGGGCAGCCCGGTCTACAGAGTGAGTTCCAGCACAGCCAGGGCTACGCAGAGAAGTCCTGTCTCGAAAAACAAAACGAAAGATAACCAAATAGTGTCCATTACTTCTTTCTGCCAAGTCAGAGGTAGGTAGAACCACTTCTCAAAACACTCAGTATAAAGCTGTATGAAAACTAGGCACAGCTGGTGCTTACACTACTTCCTTGCTATCATCTCTTCAGCTATCCTAACTAAAGGGAACAGCATACTCTAAATCCACAACGTTGTTTCTCCCACTTCTTCCAGAGGGTCTTGTTTGTGTATTGTCTTTACCTTATGTCTATATCCTTTTTCTTTCTGTTTCCCTCTTTTCCTAAGGACAGGTAGTTCTTCAAATTGATGCCTGCCTTCAAACATGACGATTGCTTTTCCAGCCACCCAGGCTTTTTCAGAAGGGTCTCCAAAAGCCTCCACGTAGTATTCTCGATAGGGCCTTCTATTGGCAACTAGGTAAGAGAAAAAGAAGTGTTATTACTTCAAAAGGATGAGTACTTGGCACTGAGTTAACAGCCAAACCTCCTACTACCACAGGAGAGTGTCTGGGCTACTTAGATTGTTCAGCAGGTGAAAAAACTTGGCACCAAACCTGACAATCTGAGTTCAACTTGATTTTGGTCTCCAGAAAACACATAATGAAAGGAGAGCATTGAGTCCTACAGGCTGTTAGAGCACTCACTGAATGTGTAAGAGGTCAAAACAAATACATATTCAAAACCATGTTGAAAGGCAAGAGAGATGGCTCAGCTGTGAATGATTTTCGGTGTTCCACAGAACCCACAGTCTGCTCTTGGCGCCCAACCAGGCAGCTCACACTCTCTCCAGCTTCAGGAGAGCCCCCTTCTGCCCTCTGGGAGCTAGAGAGAGCTCAGCAGTTAAAAGCATGTACAGCTATTGTAGAGACCCTCAGTTCATTTCCCAGTACCCACTTCTAGTGGCTCACAAGTTGCCTACAACCCTAGCTCTGAGAAACCCAATGCTCTGACCTTCATAGACCTGTGCATTCACTGCCCACACAGACACCCACACAGACACATAATTAAAACACGTCTTTAAGAAAGGGAAAAGGAAACCCATGTTGATTACAGGGCTAGAGACAGCTCAACTGTTAAGAGCACTGGCTGTTCTTCCAGAGAACAAACTTTGGTCCATAGCTCCCTTGGGGTAGCAACAAGGGAGCTCCAGTTCCAGGGGATCTGACAGCCTTTTCTGGCCTCCACACACCGCACACCTTCAGGCTCTGCACACATGTGTACACGGATATACATGCAGGTAGGTAAAACACCTCCACTATAAAGTATATATACACCATCTTAAAACAAAACCTAGGCCAGGCATGGTAGTGCACGCCTTTAATCTCAGTACTTGGAAGGCAGAGGCAGGCAGATCTCTGTGAGAGAAGCCAGCCTGATCTACAGATTTAGTTCCAAGTCAGCCAGGGCTACATAGTAAATAAAATCTCATCTCAAAAACAACAACAACAAAAAAAACATGATAAACTGGGATGAGAAGTGAGGTCTACCTAACTGCCAACACCCATGCCAGTGTCGCCATAGTAGCATAAGCTCCAGGGCAGGGGATACGCTTTCTCCGGAAATTCGCCCCCTAGAAGTTCCCTGGCAAACTCATCCCCCTTGGAAAAGAGACGTGTTCTGAGATTTCTACGCTTTTTCAGTTGTGGCTCTGGGGCTGGAATAATGAATTCTTTGATCTTTCTCTGTGACTCCTGAAACAGCACAACTAATTTTATAAAGAAATTTGTTATTAGTAGATTGTTAAAGGCTTTAATAAAAATAATATGTAAAAGGAATAAGTTTAAGAAAAGTAATGAATTAGATTTAGTATCAGAAGACATTATAAGAATAAAAAAAGAAATAATGGGCTCCTTAAGAAAAAATAACAGGAGAAGTACAGCTGGCACGAGTTTACCCCTCTCTTCAGCATCTTGTTTCTAGGGAAGATCATAAATCTTTAGCAGGACATAAAGGGAGGATGGTTGACAAAGGTATGTTTAGACTTTGGCAGGTATTCGACTTGGCTCGGAGGACTATTACAGCTCCTAACTTTCCTCTTCACTAGTCAGTGATAATGAAACCATAGTTTGAGGTTTTTGTTTCTTGTGTGCGTTGATCAGAAAGTTTCTAGGCAAAGATTTCTTGTGAGCACTGCCCTATGTTAAAACAGAAACGTTGTATCCTTGGTAAAAGTCTGAATGTTCTGGAAATCATGCCAATTTTAAGGTGCGTCCTTGTGAGATCACTATAAAAATACTAGCTTGACTTCAGTAAAGTTGCAGCAGAGTCAAAACCATCAAGGTGTCTCTGTCAATTCATCGCCGAAACCGTGTCTTCCTGTCCAAAGCCTTGCTCTCCCTCAGAGGACGGGAGCCCGACTGGGCCGGTCCGTGGCACCTAACAATGAGCAATGACTGACTGAGGATGAAGCTCAATCAGCAAGGTATGTGCTTTAACATGTCTGAGTCCCTCAGTTCACCCCCAGTCTCTCTCTGTCTCTCCCTCATAGACTGGATAATAGCTCAGTGGGTAGTTTGCCTAACATAAACAATGTTCTTTAATCCCCAGTACCATGTACCTCCAGCATATGGGAGATAAAGGCAAAGGAGTGCCACAAGTTACAAATCATCCTGAGCTATTAAGCAAAAAATATGGAGTCTAATGACCTGAGTTTAATCCCCAGGACCTACTTAGTGGAAAGAAACCCCCAAACTGTCCTATGACCTACACACACAATCTCTTTTTAAGGGATTAACCCACAACTTTATTTCCCCTGAGGGATAAACTCAGGCCTAGGCTGGCCTTAAGCTCACAGTTCCCCCGCCTTGGCCTCAAAAGTGTTAGAATTACAAGAACAGGCATCTCTTAAGAAATCCATACCACCAGCATCTAACTCACAACTTCTACAGAGAAAGTAATGATTGAAATAATTCAAACTAAATATCAAAAGATCCAGCTGAGACAGGCATATGGGGAAGGGAGGAGGTCATGCCTCTAATATCACAACCCTGAAGCCCAAGGCAGGAAGACTCAAAGGCTGACTGGACTATCAAGAGTTCCAGGCCAGCCTGTGCTGTATCAAAAGGCCTTATCTAAAAATAAGTCAAGGGCTGGGTTTGCGCCTTTAATTCCAGCACGTAGGAAACAGAGGCAAGGAGATCTCTATAAGTTTAAGGCCAGCTTGAATTACAGAAGAGTTCCAGGCTAATCAGGGTTACACAGTAAGAAGCTGTCCCTAAGAAAGAGAAAAAAGTTTTTAAAAATAAATCCACGAAGCTAAGGATAGTGATCCTTGCCTACCAGGAGTCGGGTGGATCCAGAGTTCAAGGTCATCCTAAACTACACAATAAATTTGAGGTCAGCCTTGCCTACAGAATGCTGTCTATAAGAAGAAATGGCTCAGAGGTTAACTAAGAGCACATATTGCTCCTGTAGGGAACCCAAGTTTGGTTGCCAGTAGGCATCTTCCAAGGCCAACAGGCACCTGTAGTTGTAGCCGCAGAACTATGTTCTTGGCCCCTCAGAGCCCAGCAGTGCTGGAGGAGTTACAGAGCAAACCACAGCACCTAGGTTTCTCTCTGGGTGCTGAGAACTGAACTTCAGTTCTTGTGCTTTGAAAGGCTGACTGAGCCATCCCCTAGCCCCAAAAAGTTGTACTTTCTAACATCATTTGAAATACTTAACCTATTGGGGGGGGGAGGGGAATCACTCTATTTTTATATATTATACTATATTTCACCAGATCTCATTATAGGAGTTTTGATATTCATATCAAATAAGAATTATCTCAAATCTGCAACTGCTAAATCTAAATGTATACTTTTTCATTTCACTATACTTACATTTTCTGCAGGTTTGAATTTTTCCAAAGAAAAAATTAGGAAAGACCTAGCAGTCTGTTCAAAGACTGCTATGAACAGACTGGTAATGTAGCTCAAGCAGGCAAAGGCACAGATTGCCAAGCCTGACAACCTGAATTCATTCTCAAGAAATGTGCTAAGGGGACAGACATGACACCTCCAAGTCCTGTCCTCCACTCTTGCCCCATGGCATGTATATCTATACATGTACATGTATGAACACACACACGATTTTACAATTACATGCTGCAACTTTTCTCATGGGCTACTGAACAATGGCAACAGCAAAAGAGGATAAACAGTTAGCACACACAGGATAAACAAAGTCGTTACTACAAATATTCAGTAAGGTTTTTATTAATTTATTTATTTTGGGTTGGTTTTTGTTTGTTTGTTTGTTTGTTTTTGTGAGACAGGGTTTTTTCTCTGTGTAGCCCTGGCTGTCCTAGACTCGCTTTGTAGACCAGCCTAGCCTCAAATTCTCAGAGATCCATCTGCCTCTGCCTAGCCAAATACTAAGTAAGGTTTTAAAACGTAACTAGTCATAGCTTGTCATAATAAACTACAAAGACAAAATAATCAAACCTGAAAATATTTAAAGAGGGAAAACTGAAAGGAAAAAAAAAAAAAAAAAAAAGACTAGACATAAGGTTGTCTCTAAAATACAATGGAGTTCCCAGAAAGCATGATTTTAAAGAATTTTAACTTTTTACAGTCCCCCAACCCATGTTATCTTTTTTTAAAAAAATACTTATTATGTATACACTCTTCTGCCTGCATGTATACCTGTATGCCAGAAGAAGGCACCAGATCTCACTATAGATGGCATGAGCCACCATGTGGTTGTTGGGAATTGAACTCAGGACCTCAGGAAGAGCGGCCTGTGCTCTTAACCGCTGAGCCATCTCTCTAGGCGCATGCCTGGTATCTTCTGCCAGTAAACATGCTTGTCCTTGGTTCTGATCAGAACTTTTTGTTGTTTGTTTGAGGTGGGATCTCAGGTACCCCAGACTGTCCTCAAACTCTGTGTGTAATCAAGGATGGCCTTGAACTTCTCACCCCTGCCTCCCACCTAATTACTTTTGCCACCACATGCCATTTACTTGGTGCTGAGGATTACACCAAGGGCTTCATTCATGTTAGGCAATAACTCTACAAGTTGAGCTAAGCCCGGATCCTAGAGTGAATTTCTCTAATTATTTAGAGGATATTTTATTAATTTCTGTAATCAAACACACAGATAAAATCTTATAGCTTCAATTACCCCTATTCAAACAGAGTAACTGCTAATTTCTGTGCCACGCCAACACAACACTTAAGAGTGAGCATTTTAAAAGCATGTATCAGGCCTGCCCTTAAGCTCTTCATGGATAGCACACTCAGCCTAGAACTGTTCACAGAGTTTGTATGAATACTACAGGCACTGCATGATGTGCTACCTTCCACCCTCTCAGCATCAAAATACACGCATGCCACTTTCTGTTCCTAGAGCAATCACTTCCCTTGAGTTACAAAAAAACAGCTCTAGTGTACTTGTTTAGTAGTGTGTGCAAGGTCCCAGGAGAATTCCTAATTCCAGCAAGAAACTAACCAAAAATGAAAGCATTAGGCGGTAGAGCTGGCTCAGGACTTAAAAGCACTGCCTACTGTACCAGAGGACCCAGGTTCAATTACATGTGCGGTCACCAACACAGCCATGTGTAACTCCAGTTTCACAGGGTCCCAACCACAGGCCCTGTGCCCACACTCTGCAAAGACACACATGCAGGCAAAACACTTATAAATAGTAATAAATAGACACAAATAGTAATAAAAACTTGAAGGCCGAAGAAATGGCCCCAAGTTAAGAGCACTTGTTGGTTCCCAGCGCCTACCTGGAGGCTCACAGCCATCTACACCCCCATCCCAGGTAATCTGGCACCTTTTCTGACCTCTGTAAGCACCAGGCCCACTTGTGTATATACATGCATGCAAGAAAAACATTCACATACATAAAATGGAGAAATAAATGAAAATAATATTTCAAAAAAATTTTTAAAAGCAAACACCAGAGAGCTGGCGAGATGGCTCAGTAGCTAAGAGCACTCACCGGCTGCTCTTCCAGAGGACTCAGTTCAATTCCCAGCACTCACATGGCAGCTCACAACTGTCTCAAACTCCAGTTCTCACACAGACATACATGCAGGCAAAACATCAATGCATATAAAATAATCATTAAGCTGTGCACGGAGACACATCTTTAGTCCCAGTGCTCAGGGAGGCTGAGGCAGGTGGATCTCTGAGTTTGAGGCCAGCCTGGTCTACAAAGCAAGTCCACAACAGCGAAGGCTACATAGTGAAACCCTGTCTTGAAAAACAAAAAAACAAAAACAAGAAAAATTCCAAAACTACAGATAGAGCTCAGTTGGTCAAGTGCCTGCCTACAGGCACAAAGTCCCAGGCTACACACAGCACCATATAAACTGGGTGGCACACACCTATACTCCCAGCACGTGGGAGATGAAGGAAGATCAGGTACTCAGACAGTTCAAGGCCAGCCTGGGATACGTGAAACCCCATCTCAAAAAAAAATAAGAGAGGTAAAGGGGCTGAGGACACACATTAAGTAGCAAAGCTAAATTACCATTTCCATGTTCCACTGTATAACTGAGAATTTTTTAAAACAGTCTCACTAGGTAGCTGTCCTCAAATCCATAATTCTCCTGCCATAACCTTTCAATCTGTGAGATAGGCAAGTACCAACAGGCCTATTCTAACTACTCTTCAATCTCAGAGTAAGACAAACTTAAAGAGATGAAAAATTAACAATTCCTAAAATTTCCAAAGAAAACAATGGAAGAAACAACAATCCTGAGACATACTAAAAGCAGCTGAAGCTTGATTCCACATTGTATTTCATAACAAATAATCAACCGTACATTATTACCTTTCATTTTTGAGTGCGTATTAATCAATGGATCAGAACAAATCCTGCAGGGCCACCATGGGCGTCTCTTGAATTTTGCCCAAATGAGATCTCCAACTTCATACTTCAGTGGTGTGGACTTTCTCTTCGGTTGACACTTCAGATAGACAAAACATGGTAATCAGTATACAAAAAAAAAACAAAAAAAAAACAAAAAAAACAAAAAAAAAAAAACACATTCAAAGCACTATCATCCAATTAGAATTCTGAAAAGCCAAAGCCTAAACACAAAATGGAAACCTAGCCAGGGTCAGGAAGATGGCTTAGTGAGTAAAGCCCCTCCACCAAGCCTGGCAATCTGAGTTTGATCCCTGAGTCTCATGGCATGGAGAACAAACCATGCACTCAAGTGGTCAAAAAAAAAGTATAAGGAATGAATTCATTGAAATAATCCAAATAAATGCTGAATAATGTCCTCATGTCCCCCCAGACCTCCCCATCAGCACTGTGGCACACAGCACCCACACATCCAGAATAAATGTTTTGTTTTTTAATAGAGGACAACTCAGCTAATCAATGATAAAATAAGCACAAGTTACCTTGACTCAACTGTTCACAGCACAACCTTTTAGAACAATTTAATTTGTTTTATATCCGCATTAATGGTCATAATGAAAAAATATCCCAAAACTACATAGGATATGGTGGTACAAGCCTTTAACTATAATACTTGGGAGACATAGGTAAGCACAGATCTCTGGGAGTTCAAGGCCAGCCCGGTCTACACAGTGAGATCCTGTCTCAAACAAAACCAAATCAATCCTAGAAGTATAGGCCATACTCTACTCATGCCCATAAACCCCACCTAAAATCTTCCCGTGAGACACAAGAAAGATACATGAAATATTGTACAGCACAACTCAGAACAACATTCAAACATAATACCATATAAATATAAATGAATCTTTTCTCCAAAAATAATATGCCTCAGCCTGGGCTACACACATAGAAACACTATCTCAAAAGAAGCAAAACAAAACAAAATACCCAAAAAATCAAAACAAAAAAAAAAAAATAATATGCCTGATTAATCTGGTATCTAACTGCCTCCATCCTAGCTCCCAGGCCCATGTCTCTAAAAACCACCATTAAATACCACAAATAGAAAAAATTCCTGTTTTGAAGCCCGAGCTTTCAATCTTGTACATAAAAGGGGGGGGGAGGGGGTGCAACTATACTAAGGTATTTTTGCAGAGGCCAGAGTATCTAAGCTGTAAGGACAAAGAACTACCACCTCGGTAATCCAAGGGGACACAAAGCAGTGTCATTCCGCTCAAAGGGCCATGTCTCCAAAGACAGAGTTCTTCAGACTAAATTTTCCTCCCTAAATGCCCGAAACTATCCACTTGGCACTCAAGTGGTCAAAAAAAAAAAAGTATAAGGAATGAATTCATTGAAATAATTCAAGTAGGGCTGGAGAGATGGCTCAGCGGTTAAGAGCAATGGCTCCTCTTCCAGAGGTCAGGAGTTCAATTCCCAGCAACCACACGGTGGCTCACAACCATCTCTAACGAAATCTGGCACCCTCTTCTGGAGTGCAGGTGTACATGCACATGGAACATTGTATACAGAATAAATAAATAAAACTTAAAAGAAAAAAAGAAATAATTCAAGTAAATGCTGAACAATGCCCTTCTTCAAAAGATAAAGGATGAGGCTCCTTCCAATATGTAAATTATCTCTCAACCTTTAGACTGCTTTCACTCAGGGCTGGAGAGAAGGTAATTAAGTGTATGTGTGTTCTTCCAGAGGACTGTGATTTATTCCACACACACTGGCTCACAACCATCTGTAATTCTAGTTCCAGGGGACTTGATGGCTTCTCTGGCTCCTACTGCCACCAAATACGCACTGGCACACAGAATACATGTAGACAAAACACCTATACAAATTTTTTTTAAAAAGTCGACTTCTTTTACATGAAATATGTAAAATAGAGTGACCAAGGATGCTTCAAAAATACTTATGTAAGTTAAGTTCAACTGAAAATACTGTACTTTTTCATTTTTATAGAGTCACTAAGGAACTTGGTAGAAAGTATAGAATTTCCTTTTGTTGTTGTTGTTGTTAGTTTGTTTTTGGAAAATGGCTCCTGAGGGCTTTTTAAAAGACAATTATAAGCCGGGCAGTGGTGGCAACACGACTTTAACCCCAGCACTCAGGGAGGCAGAGGCAGGCAGATGTCTGAGTTAGGCCAGCCAGGGCTACTAAGTGAGTCTAAGAAGGGCTACACAGAGAAACCCTGTCTCGAAAAACCAACAAAAAGTAAGTTCAATTCATAAATACTGCCTTGCTTATCCTTGTGGGAAATTAGAGTCCAGTAAAAGAGAAGCACCAGCTAGTAAACAAACAGATAATTTCCTGAGAAACATGCCAAACAGTGACTTGTGGTCAGTGACAGGACAGGGCCATGTGACATGGACTTTTGCTACAGAAGTATTATGGGCAGGGTTACTTACAGTGCTTGCTTTTTCTCTTTCTTTCTTTTGTCTTTTTTAAATAATGTTTACTTAGTTTTTCCAAGATACCCAGCACAATGACCCTCCTTGAAGTCTCCTAAGGCTTATGTACTACAAGACCCCTGACACCTTTGTCCTCCAAGCACAGGTAGGGGATTGGCTGTCTGCAGAAACCAGAGATACTTTGTGGCACAGCAGCTTGGAGGAGAGAGAGGAGACTGCTTGCTGTTTCTGCTGTTGACAGAGATTGGTATTAACCCAAAAAGAACCTATCGACCCTAAACAGCCAGGAGAAGAAAAGGGGTCTGCGCCCTCTCCCCACTATCCTCCTCTTTCCTATCTAGAGCTGGGAACTGAAAGGAAGAGGCTTTAAGGAACCCCAAATAAAATAGTTTTAAAAACAAATGGAACACATTGTATTATCAAGACCAAAAGTAAATGTGCTGAGGGAATACTCAAAGCTCCCAGCAAAATAACAAGTACTAGTGGAGAAAAGTAACTTTAATACACCCTGCTAAGAGGTCAGAAGATCCAGACTGGAGAGATGACTCAGAATACAGAGGAACCGGGATTGGTTCCCGGCACTCACATCCAGTAATTACAGTTCCAGGGGATCCAACACCTTCTTCCGACCTCTGTCGGCACCTGGTATTCACGTGGTAAACATGTATGCATGAGGGCAAATCAATGTACATAAAATAAATCTAAACAAATTTTTTTTCTAAGAGTAAAAGTTTTTTTCACAGAGTAAGAGTAGTAACTATGTGACCCAGGGACACTCAGGGACACACTCCTGAGTCTTGGGTACACAGCCAGAGTGACACAGTAATTCCACTCAGGAGCACACTCTGGAGTCTCGGGTACACAGCCAGGGCTTGTGGGTGCAGTGCAATGGTAGAGTACTTGCCTACCCTCCGTAAGAGCCTGCGCCATACCCAGCACCAGGGGAAAATAAACAAACACACACACATGTATCTAAATGTTCACAGGATTATTTACCACAGTCAAAACAGTAGAAAAAAAATCAAAAGGCCACTAACTGAAGCATGGAAACATAAAATGTAATCTGTACATACAATGACTATAGTTAGCTCTCCCTATTAAAGGGTCATCACTTGCAGATTTACTAGCAGTAGGTCAAAATCTATGAGGAGAGCAGGGCACAGAGGTACAATCTATAATCCTAGCACTTAGGAAGCTGAGGAAACAGGGTCCCAAGTTTGAAGTCAGAGTGAGCTACAGGAGTTCCAGGTCCTAGCACTGGGAAAACACAGACAGGAAAGACAGAGCAGAGCTTGCTGGCCAGCCAGTCTAACCAATCAGTGAAGCAGGACGCTGTACTCTGACCTCCACGCAAGCACCTGCACTTACATATGGACACAGAAACCACAAGATTGAAAAAAATAAACAACAACAAAGAAACTGAGGTAAAAAGCAATTGAGGAAGACACCTGACACCTTTGGCCTCCAAACACAGTTATAGCCATGTACACGTACATGTACACACACACAGCTTTCTTACACATATGCAAAATAAAACAATTGGTGGAGCGGCACATGCCTGTAATCTCAACACTCAGGAGATGAAAGCAGGTGATCAACTACAGCCCTAGCTACTATAATCCATAATACATAATTTTGAAGCAGTCCTAGCCTGCCAGAAGCCCTGACAAGGAGGGACAAGTGGCGGGACAGCTCAGCAGGTAGACCATGTCACTATTCCCAGCACCCACACAGTGGCTCCAACCTTCCCTAACTCCCCGGTATGCACGTGGTGCACATTCATACACGCAAAATAAATCCTTAAAAATTAACAAAAATAAAAAGATAAACAATGGACTGTAGATGGCTCAGTGGTTAAGAGCACTTGCTGCTCCCCCAAACCCCTAGTGGACCTGAGTATTATTTCCCAACACCCACGTCAGGCAGCTTACAACTGACTGCTTGCAACTCCAGTTTCAGAAAATCCAATGCCAGCCTCCACGGGCACCCACATGTGGCATATACACACAGAGACGCGGGAATAAAGTAAATGAATACACAAAGTAAATGGAGATATATATTTTAGGAAGAACTATCTGAAATTTACTTTGGGTGAGTGGTTGGCTTGTTTGTTTTGTTTTGTTTTGTTTTTTAACATGTATGTGTATTTGGATGCCTGGTAGATCAGAATAAAACATAGGAGGTTTGGGAACTAGAAACTCTGTCTTAGCCCCCATCTCACCTCCTCCCCCCAAAAAAAATAAAGAAAAAAAGAGAAAAAGACAAGGCCAGGCAGGTGCAGCCCACTGGCAGAGCCTTGCCTGTCATACAGAGAACTGTGGGTTCAATACCTACTGACTTCCCACCCTGCAAAAAAACTGATAATTTCTTAGCAAGTGGAAAATGGGGCAGGAACATCAGAAGTTTAAGGCCAGCCTAGGCAACTAGGCAATTTCAGGTCAGCCTAAGCTCTATAGTGAGACCATTTCCAAACACAAAACAAAACTTGTGTGAGCAGTTCTGAGGATTGAACCCAAGGGCTAAGCAAAATCGCAGCTCCAAAACTCTTTTAAACAGGTGTTCCTCATCTCACCCTGTGCTGTGAACACTTCGGTTTATGATATGCAAACATGCTCTTGTTCTAATCCCAAGCGGG